CACTGGTGTTTTTGAGGGCGTGTCAGAATAGTCGCTTGGCGAGCAATATATGAGGCGCATTTAGCTTTCATCCCTGTGACGTCACAGGGAAAGGGAAGCGGCTGGACTACAAACAAGCTGTTTTCAGGAAGTTCAGAGCAGAGTTTTCTGTGGGAGATGGGAACTCCCTTTGGGCTTTTTCACTTTGCAAACCTATTACATGCACAAAAGAGGTATATAACTCAATAATAGGAGAGGGAAAACCAAAAAAGCATAATATACCACCTCTTTAAAACTGTCATGCAGTAGTTTATAGTTTAGGACTTTTTCTAAAGGCAGAAGAGATTAAACATAAAATGTTGCATATGTCACCGGTATTGTCAGGTTGGACCAGCAGAACAGAGCCATCCCGTGCCAAGGCCTGGTGTTGGGGAATCAGTGGCGTGAACTGGAGAGCATGAAAGCTCAGTTTGTAGCTGTCAATGGCATTCGAAAAGTGGCCTGTGTGGTATGTTGAATTTATGAGTTTCCATTGTCTTTAGTGTATGCCGATCAATAAGGTCAAGATGGTTGATTTCAGCATGTCAGTGGGTGCATGCACAATGAATGAATGTAATTCATAAAATCTATTTTTTCTTTCCTGGCAGCTAAGTGCCAATCTGAGGCACATTCGCGTTTTTGAGATGGATGTAGAAGATGAAGATGATGAGGGAGCAGAGTCACAGAATGCCAGCGCTGACCAGGATGGTCTGGAAACTACTATGAGCAGCCAGGGGCAGGGAGAGGAAAGTGTGGAGGCTGAAAATGAAGCTGAAGAACAAGGAGGAGGTGTTCAAAAAACTGAGGAGCATCTGGAGTCAGAGGAAGCTCTCGAACTCTCCTAAGACACAGAAACAAACTACACAAATATAAGACTGGCTCCATCTTTTGCTTGTGTAAAAATGCATTTTTACAACATCCTGAAACATCTAATATGTGTTTATGAAAATAAACAGGTTGGTGCCCATATTTGAGGAGTCTTATTGTTTTGTAATTTTGAGTAACTGATTATTCACCATGCCATTAACTCCTGTAGGTATGAATTGGCCGAAAAATATATGGATGAATAGTCAAGTAAACTAAATAATGATTATTGGGTTCTGCAAATCTTGCGTAAGTTTATTAATCATATTCCTTTCTTTAGCAAAAAATATGCACGCGCAAATAGGTGTTGGTTACGTACTCGCTCCCGATATTGAACGCAGTGACGTTTTATCCGCCGCCTGTTGGTCTTTCACAGTTGGTGACGAGTATTATGAAAATGGCCTCGACCGTGCCCGTGAGCACGGTGAACTGGAGAAGATGACGGTGTTGAGCTTTTTAAGTCAGTTGAACACTAAAGTGTCTTCTTTGAACACGTAGATAAAAGTGAAGAAAACAAGAACAAAGAGACTGCCGGCAGAGAAGCGACTGAAACACAGAGCACTGCCTGTCTTCGTAGGGCTGAGGAGCCACTATGGAGGATATCAACTCAAATATCAACGCGGACTTGGAGGTGCGTAAGCTCCAGGACTTGGTGAAGAAGCTCGAACAGCAAAACGAACAGCTTCGGAGTCGCTCTACGATGTTGTCCTCGTCCGGAGCCATGTCAGGGAACCACAGACCCCTCAGCGAAGGATACGACTCGTCCTCCCTGTCAGGGATGGCAGCCGGTCTGGCCGGCTTCCCTGGGGTGGGGTTCGTCGGAACGGGCGGCTACGGTGGTCTGCTGGAGAACAGCCGCTGTTTGAGCCCCAGACTGTCTTACGACGGGATCAGCTTCAGGAGGGCGTATGATTATGAGGGGGCATCGGCTGCCGCCTCTGTGTCGAGTATGAACTCACTTTATTCGGACACCACCGGGGCTTTTACAGATGAAGGGGAAACATCGATCCTAGACGAAGTGGAAATATTAGATCTCGAAGACATGGATTGTCTGCACGAAGACGAGGACAGCTGGTGAGTTACAGGCTTGTCTTGGGAGGGATCTCGCCTTTACAGCCGTGTCTGTGTCTTCAGTGCTGGGCGACAGCTTTAGTTTCCTGAGCACAGCTGCTCTACCCATTAGCTACAACGACAAACGCCTGGCATAAACAATCTTTCTGTCGGAGTGTCGTTGCGGATCACTGACAGAAGGTTGTTTGGCAAGTCATGTGGGCGATACCAATCGCCTACTCGGACTCCGTGATCATAATAGACGTGCTTTGTCACACAATCAATACCGAGTCTCCATCAGTTATCTCAAATTGCATACAGTTTGCGCATTTGTTCCCCAGACTGATCAGTAGGCCTCTGAGGCTCGGGCTCTCAGCTATCTCCGGAGGTCCCTGAAGTCCCTGATCATCTGTTGAACCGTTTTGGTGCTGTGATGTGGCAGATTGCTCGGCTTGTCATGGCTTTGGTGGCAGGAGATCAGTGTGTGCAGTAGAAACGAAAGTTGTTTTCCTGCCCGCCGGTCATGTGGGAGAGGTAGCCATGGTTATGTTCCTCCTCTGAATTCCCTTTAGCACACCAGCTGGCAAACAGCCACGAGTTGATCCGCAGCACCAATAAGTGAGAAAGGCGAGAGATGTGAGACAGTACTGTCTCATGATGCAGGAATAAATACTCTGTAATAATAAGTGTTGCGTTTACAGGGATTACATACAGAGTACTAAAGGGTAGTGTGGAGTGTCTCCTGGACATGGTTGACCATTTGTTAGTCTGCTTGTTGTTGTCAGAATGATCCTGACAGCCCACATGTTTATCCGTACCCCTGTTCTTAATCCTCTCCCAACACACTACGTTTGTATTGTTTCCTCTAATTTCCACTGAGCATTTATGGTTTTTAGAGTTAGGTGGCTTTGCAACGATAAACTCTAAAAGTTTAATCCCCCTAAACTCCAGAGTCACACAAAGAGACTTGGTTGCACGGCTGATGTCAGACATGTAGACCTGGTGGACGTGTTTACGGATGGTCTGTTTGGATAGAAATGGCATCAGCTGCTGACTAGACATGAATGTAATAATGGGCTGTTCTCAAAATGGTCTTGTTAGGAAGGGTTTGTATGATTGGCATTTTCAATGATAATGAGGGCGTAGCTGCTGATGCGACCTAATGATAGTTAGTGAAGGTACTACAAAGGGAGATCATATTTGGTTGGAAGCCAGCTCACAGCAGAGTCTTCCCTCTTTTGCCTGCAGCGGTGAGCCTGTGCCAGCCACTGAGCTTTTTGACATCAGACATTGCTCACTCATGCTCAACAGAGCAAGTCTCATTATGCCCTGGCTGTTTGTCTGCCCTCTGGATCAGATTGATATCTGGGATTACCATGTAGTGCCTAGCTCTCGATGGCTCCTGTCATAGAGTCCTGTAATCCCCGAATTAGCCAAACTGGGTTTGAAATGCTGCATTCTCCTGCAGCTCTGCCTATCAGTAGATAGCTTGTCACATTTACTGCTGCTGCATGTTGACATGACACAAATCATTGTTTCAGAGCTGGGAGTTCATGTGTGCAAAGTGTTACGTCTGGTAGCGCTGGATGTACTATGTGCTGTAGCAAACATGAATGACGTCATTGTGTTGGTAAACACTGCAAATGTGCAGTCCCCAATTTCAGGCTTGTCTTTCTCTGCACTAGCCTGTGCCTGTAATGTTTCAGCTTTCATCATGAAAAGCTTTCTCTCAGAGTGCAACAGAGCAGACAGTTGCTGACTCAGATTTCTCTTGTGCGAACTCTCCCTTTCTCTCCTCTTCTCAAAGGTTAAGGATAAACACACATTTATAATATGTAGTGGCCAGTTCAGTTAGTTTGTAGTCTTATTTTAGACATTTATGTTTTCCCATCAGTATTAAGAGGCTTTGACAGTTTCAATCAATACAGCTGACTAAGCAGTGAACTCAAGGACTATTTCAAATGATTTCTGCTAGTGACGGTGGTTCATTCTTAAAGTTTGCTGCAGCAGGAGCTGAAAGTTGCGTTGTCCTCATTTCTAAGGGAGACCCCAGAGACAGAACGCTGTACGAAATAGATCTGAATTTAAACAAATAGTCTTTTTCAGTGTCAACCAGCACGGTCACATAAATGCCTTTTTGCCATTGCAGCATTCTGTGATAAAACGCTATGTGTTATCCCCTCAATCTCATTTCCTCTGAGCTGCTGGGTCGCATCACATACGAGGTGTGAGTTGTCAGAGTCCGTTACCATTAGAGAGAGACATCTGTTTGTTGTTGCTTTTGTGAACATGCAATATAGCAAGTTAATTGTGTATGCTGTTCATGTTTTTTGCAGGTTATATGAGGCGAAACTAAACAGTCCTCTGCAGAAAACCTTGAGTCCTATTGTGTGGTGCCGCCAAGCTCTTGACCACCCCAGTCCTGAGATGGAATCAGCCAAGCGCTCCCTCATCCACAGACTGGACCTCACGCTGTCAGGTAAATGCCAGCGAACATGAAACACGTAGTCACAACTAAGCAGCAGTAAAACTGTAGAAACATCAGTGAAAAACTGAATTAATCCTTCTTTTGGGATATTGGAGGTCAGCTACAAAATGGCACCACTGGGATTAGAAGGGACTCAGGGAAGAAGGGACAGCACAGCTGTTCAAAGCGTATGCTCTGTCAGAATGTAGAATTATTGATCCAGCAAGGTAGAGCTTGTTTATAAATGCTTGCTGGCTAGATAATGATGTGATGGTTATACTTATTAGAAAGAGCTTTAATTTATGGGAGTGAGCCTCTGAAGCTCAAGAAAACACAAATTAAATGACTCATGTTGTATTTCTTTCTTCTTCTTCTTCTTCTTCTTCTTCTTCTTCTTCTTCTTCTTCTTCTTCTTCTTCTTCTTCTTCTTCTTCTTCTTCTTCTTCTTCTTCTTCTTCTTCTTCTTCTTCTTCTTCTTCTTCTTCTTCTTCTTCTACTACTACTACTACTACTACTACTACTACTACTACACACAATTACAAACAAAGCAGAGACGGGTGTATCATTCATCATACACATTCCCATGTGTAGTTAAGCTTACCTTATTCTAAACGGAAGATACACCTGTGTACCTGTGTGGTCATTCACTGAATGGCGGAGGCTGTATGAGGTGAAAAGACAAATCAATTACACATCGACTTGGGGATAATTGCCAGTTGAGGTTACAAGTTACTGAAAGCTTAAAGGTTTTGTGAGAATACTGCAAATGATTGTCAGACACTCACAGCCATGCACATCAGCTTTTGGAGTTTTGTTAGTCCTTTGCAGCAATGTGTGTGAAAAATAATGCTTAATTTATGCTTCACCAAGGGCTACGCAAAATATTTATTGTTTTGTGCCATTCGGTTGCACCTAGATGCTTGGGGCGTGTATCGTAGTTATTTATTAATATATACATCTGTCAAAGTTTTTACTCTTTCTAGTGCATCCCTTTATCCTCCAGGGTGAATAGAGATGGTGGTACCAGCTATCTAAACTTGGTCTATGTTGAAGGATCAGGACCAGAATGGATGTAAACTACTCTCCAAGGCAGAGCGACTCAGTAGAGAAGCTGTGTCATGCTGATGTTCAAGTTTAAAATATAATTGTTGCTAGGCTTTACACAAGAATTAATTTCCTTTTAAAATTGTATACAGTATAAATCAAATATTATTATAGACATTTCATCTACAGTACATCAACCAGGTCTACCTTATTTGTAGTCCTTTATGCGTGGTCTGTCTGTTATCTGAGCCTTTGACTGCCACTAATTATAGTTAGTCCCTTAGTAAGGATGGCCGCCCTCAAATTCTCGCAGCTAAACTGAGACGGGTCATTTCCATTTCGAAAGCGGTATGCCCATGTGACAGTTAGATCATGTTGAGCAATAGGCCGCGGAAGGTTGTTCACTGGATGTGATCTTCTCAGCTCTGTTGTGCAAGAAGCACCTGGACACACAGCCACCTTGTCATCAGGATACTGAGATTTGTTTAGAGTGGCTGCTAAATTAAATGGCCAGGGGCCCTTTTGTGGATCCAAATTGCACAGGTTATTTCAGAAAAAAAGATTCTGGTATGAGAGCTTTGGAGAGAGTTTTGGGCTACCTTCTTAACTGTCGTTGAAATCAGGAATCTGCAATGCAGCTTTCTTCAAAATGATTCTTTAAAAAAATGACTGCTTTCTCTTTTCCCTTTTTATTGTGACCACTATGGGCTTGATGTGCTTCAAGCTAATATATGAAGCAAATAATAATAATAATAATCAATACTCAAAAGTGGGCTTCAAGACCTGTTTGTATATGTAGCCTGCGAGGACCCTTAGTGAACAAAGCATGCTATTTGTCTAGTGGGGTCTAGGGAAGTGTGATAGTAGTGATATCATCACTGTAGGTGTGGAAGGAGGATAACGTCATCCTGCTTTGGCCTGAGAATACCCCTCCTGTCACTGATACCACCCACCCCACTCTTCTTCTCTCCTCAGTTGGCACTGATGTTGTCACTACTTCCACAAAGGCTTGCAGAAAAACAAAGACAGAACAACAAAGCATTTATGTGGAGTCTTGTGATTAACTGGACTTGTGGTTAAAATATTTAAACCAAACATCAAGTTAAGATATTTGTTACAATGGAGATCCTTCTTCTGCACACAAAAATACTTAAGCTAATACTTAAGCACTACGTTCTGAGAGTATATGCATCTGTGGCGAGTCTCTCTTTCACTCAGACACACCCTCAAGGCTTCTGCTACTCTCCTCTACACACGGCCTCTTAAGAGGATCATGGAAACCCTGTTGACATGGTGTTTGTTGCGTTTGCGTCAATGGAAATGAATAGATATACAAAATTTTAAATCTTCACTTGTGGCACAATCGAGGCAAAGTGACGATGTCCTTATGAGACAAACTTTACTTTAGAACTTTAGTTTTAGTGTGTCAGTAGTACCCACAACCTTTGTCTGTGCACACCCTGTTAAAATCATATCGTACCAAGATGACATTTCTGAGTTATATAACTAACAACAGGGAGGAGATGGCTGTGAGTTGACTGTACTAGTCAGACAATCCTGATAAACTGTCAGAACATGTGTTGCCGGGGCTGAACAATTCAACAGATTTTCCGTAGCGCTGTTTCGACAGCTGTCCTGCGCTGTTGATCCAGTACACATACAGGGCCCCAAAGGTCCTAACCACAGTCACATAGCTGACCTGCCCTGCTCATAAAAGCTTTGACTTTCAGTAAACCTCATCCTGTATGGTTCATTCTTCTCTGCCAGTTTTATCCCTTTTCTCCTTTTTGGTATTTATCTCTCTCATTTACAAAAGCTTCTCTGTTTGCACTTCTCTTGTGATGTGCTCAAAGCTCTGTTTCAAGCCATTCTTTCTTTTTATTTATTTTTTTCTATCAAGTAGACCTCAATGCCAAGTGTTGTCTTCCATTTCAACCTCACCATTTAAGTCCTCCAGGCCTTAATTTTGTATCAGGCTCTTGTGCTGGCTCAGTTTTTTTTTTTTGTATGTGAAAATTGCCCTGGAGTTTCCACAGCTGAAAAGCCAAGACGGAAAATCCTCTTGTACAGTTTCATATCACAGTAAATCGAAATGGCATCAATCACGGTGGGCAGAAACAGCAGTTCTTCTCTCTTCCTCTGACTTCTTCTCTTGTTTTAGGACACAAGGATTTTAGGACACTCTATTCTGGTTGGTCCCTGGGCTGCAGCTCCCTTTAGATTACACTGTATCTCTGTCTAATGACTGTGCTGCTAGAGCTGCTGTGCAGGGCAACACTGTCATCTAACCACCTCCACATAGTTTAACACAGAACCCCTAGCTGGGTTCATATGTAGCCATTTTAGACTATTTTACATCAACAGGAAGAGTTTCCTAATCATAGCTAGTGTGTTTCCTGTACTTCATAGTACACAGAAGGAGTCATTGAAATTCGATCTGTTTTGTTGTTTAGGTATGAGGACTTGTTGGATGATTTATGCTTGCGCGCAGAATTGTCATTGTGTGTGTGTCATTGGCTTTTGGTGTATATTTTTAGCCACAAGAACAGTAAAGTAGCTGACTACTTTCAATTTTACTTTTACTTAGAGGTTAGTTTCAACAGGTGAACCGTTTTAATCTGTTTGATTTGACTTTTCTCAAATGGAAAAAACAAAGCATCTGTTGTTTCAAAGGGCACAGCGCTACAGACCTACACGCTGCGGTGTTGTTGACATTCCTCAGTAGCTGATCCGTGCGGATAACAGCAGAGTGGACGTAATGGTATTTCCTAAATAATGCAGGAGGACAGAGTGCAGAGCACGATGACAGGGAGAAAGTGAAAGGAGGAGGTAGCCAATCTTAAAAGGCACCACCCAACTGTGTAAACACATCCAGTCAGAGACGGAAAGAAAGAAACAGAGGGATGGGTAAACAAGTGAGTCTCTGAGACATTAACCATCCAAGCCATCAAACTATCCCAGTGACCAGCAGCCTGTCCAGAGTCTCATCTCATGACTGAGACAAGGGACTCTGACCGGAGCCTCTGACTGCTGCTTCGCCGGGCTTCACAGAGGAAGGCTTTATGTTCTGTGCGCATGAACTGAATGGCACGTATTGTGAAGTGTTTCTCTCGGCTGATGATGTAGGAACTCTCTATCAGGCCCACACTCAGCATACGGTTTAAGAGACTGAACCAGACTGCCAGCACACTGTAGAGCTTTCAGAAAGGTGCCGGCTGTGAGCAGACACTGCTGCCATTGTAGTCAAATACCGGGATGGGCAACAGGCTACGTCAGGTTCTTTTATGGGTTACAGTGTATAGATGTGGTATGTTAACACACTGGGCAAGCGAAACAATAAATGTTAAGTTTTCAGTAGTTGATTCCTCACTACAAATGCAGCATCTTGACTTCTACGTTTCACCCATCTCCTACCACTAACATTTTGTAAGCTGCCTACTCTTAGTTGTTTATTCCACTCTACCGTCATTACTACAGTTCTTTTCCATCCATGGAAATATCGGGGAAAGATTTGACTGATCAATAACTAGTCTGTTGGTCAAAGAATCCCATTAAGGGAAGAATATTAATTGGGAACAGTCTTATGTTTTGTGTGTGTTTAGGCATTTGCAGTGCAGGCCCTAAAACTGTACGATAACCTGGCTGAGAACAAGAACTTTCTGTTTTAAAGGCATAAAAAACTTGATTCTGTTACCAAATCTCTAACGCCTTTGACATTTCCTTATGTTGTGTGGACTGACTGATATTTTTGTTCTGTTCTGTGACCCTGTAGCCAACAAACGCAGGAGCCTGTATGGAAGCCCCTACAACCAGCCGGGTTATGGGAGTCCATATAGCACAAACGCAGCCAACAGTCCTTACAGCAGTGGCTTCAACTCCCCCTCCTCAACCCCCAGCAGAGTGCCCATTGTCAGACAGCAACTAATGCCTGGGAATGCAGGTATGAGTCTATAGTTCAGCAGAGAACATCTGTGGTTGTTGAATATGTGTCACTAAAGTGTTCACAAATAATTTCCTTGCCAGTTCACCAGCGAAACGCAGCAGCAGAGAGGAATCCTCCGGCGGTGAGCCCGCAGTCATCAGTGGACAGTGAGCTGAGCACCTCAGAGATGGATGAGGACTCAGTGGGCTCCTCAACTACCTACAAACTTAACGATGTCACTGATGTCCAGATACTGGCGCGCATGCAGGAAGAGAGTATGTACCTGTACTGGTGTCATCTCCAGTAGTATTGTGCAGTGACCACACAGCTTTTTTTTATCGTGTGCTGTAACTGTGAGTGTGTCCATGTTTGTCAGGTCTGAGGCAAGATTATGCTGCAACAGCATCCAGACGGAGCTCAGGTTCATCCTGTCACTCATTGCGGCGCAGCACCTTCAGCGACCAGGAGTTAGATGCACACAGTCTGGAGGACGAAGAGGAGGCGGTGCACCCGGCCTTCCATCTGCCCTCCAACCGCTTCAGCCCCTCCCCTCGACACTCTCCACGCGCCTCGCCCAGGAATTCGCCCCGCTCTCGTTCCCCTGCCCGCTCTATTGACTACAGCCACAGCCGTGGCTCGCCTCAGCCCGTCATCAGCCGCCTGCAGCAGCCTCGCCACTCGCTGCAGGGCCACGG